CCAGAATGAAAGGAGTTGAAGTTAATAGAGGAAAGCCAGACCGGTGAAGTAGAGATGGGAAGGGAGTGTGTAAAAAGGGGTTAACAGTAAGGGTTTTGTGAATTAAGGGAAAAGTGAGCAGTGAATGAGGGTTTGAAGATAAATTTGTACTAGTAATTCAAGTAGTGAATTTGCTAAAGCGTACATACTAAGTGTACTCGGGACTGGAAAAGAGAAATAAAAATAATATTGTATATGATAAAAGCGCGAAGAGTGAAAATGGCAGGCATTAGGGGGGTACAGGCTGCATAATTATATTTATATTTCTTCTTCAATTCCATGAAGAAAGAAATCATTCATGGGGGCTGGAAAAGGTGAATGGAGTAACGAGCGCCCTGGACAAGTAAAAGCCCAACAGTTTGCCATCCTACCTAAAAGTAAATATCACATCAGCCGCAAGTATGGCAACACACGCATACCCAAACAAAACAGTGGGCACCACAGCTCATATTGTAGCGCTCTTAAGTGTGATAACCAAATAATACCAGGACCTCAACCTAATTGTGCAGAGGCAAAACAGACAGATAAATGACTGCGAAAAATGACGGTCTAGTAGCTAGGGATGATAAACCTTAACTCCATATTAATGCATACATAGGTTCAATGTGAAACAATACAGCCATTATTAAACTCAAACACTACCAAACAGGTGCATACACTGTACTAAAGTAACGCATAAAAACAGAAAAGGCACCTTATTAAAATGTGTAGAGGGGTGGGTTGCCATGGAGGATGTTATTACAATTATAGCAACGGTGCCAGAATTCATTTTTGAGAGTGTCGTAACAAATGCACTTTGGCACAGTTAACCAACCCATTAGCAGGTGATGACATTGATTACCTAAATTTAATACAAATGACCCATTGCCATATATGGACGATTATGATTGTTTTATGAAAACAGCCCTCACTTTATTCATGTCAATCAAGATTCACTTCTCCAAAATTGGCATAGTTTAGATTCTAGCTAACAAAATTAGGGCGGCAGTTATAACCAAATCTCTGAATCTTGGTTGGATGATACGGGTGACTGACGACGAGGTCATAATAGATGGTTACAATATAAAACGCTTGATCGAGGAACAGAAAGGGTGGTGGAGTATTCCTACATTAGAAATGACTTAGCTTACAATCCAAGACCTTGATTATAAATAACATAAACTGGAGGATTCTATGGTTTGAAGTGCTGCTCCTAAGACCAAACCCATCTTAGTTAGGAAAAGTTAACCGCCCACATACCCGTGACCAGTTCTAGAAACTTTTCCAGAGTCCTTGTCCGGAGTTTAAAACAATTGCGAGACAATAATACTGGGCCGACTTCATATCTGTATTCAGCAGCAAAATAACGGGCATATGCAAAAGGTATAAGCAAATTCTAGGATTAAATAGTTTACACTCAACAATTATACCCAAACCCGGATCACAAACGTTCTCAGCCACCCTAATTGACATAACATAACTTTTGTAACCGCCTCCTGAGAACAATAGTCAGTCAGGCGTCAGTAACCACAGGTCTTAGTGATCATTTCATCATTTACCTGAATCCAGGCAAATCACTAGGGATAGGAATAGGCTACACAGGACCAATAAAAATGAGGTCCACTAGAACACAGTAAAGAAACACTGTAAATAGGCTACACAATTGTGACTGGGACAGAGATAACAAGTTCACGTGACGTAAACGATGCCTGGGAAAAATTCCAAAAC